GGAGCCTCCCCACCTCAGTCTCAGGAAGGTCTGAAAGGGGCCTCTAACTTTATTTTCATTTTCATTTTTATTTTTTTGAGAGAGCGAGAGAGCAGTGCAGGGGGGGCAGGGGGGAGGGGCAGAGGGAGAAGAAGAGAGAGAGAATCTTAAGCAGTCTCCATGCCCATCGTGAGCCCCACTCGGGGCTCGATCCCACCACCCTGAGATCATGACCTGAGCCGAAATCAGGAGTTGGACGCTTAACCCACTGAGCCACCCAAGTGCCTCTAATGTAAACAGAAGTAGGAAGATGAAAAGTCTCGTCTTTGAGGGGAGGTATCCTCAGGACTGACTCTGTCTCATCAGGACCCTGGCCCCACAGAGCTCAGAGTGCAGTGGCACCGCGGGAAAGGGGAAGACACTTCCATCCTGTGTTGGGGGAATCAGGCTGCAGGCTCCAGATGAAATGTTCAGGGAAGGCCAAAGCTGGGGGTGTGGGGGGCACGGGGGTGTGGCTGGCATGCCACACAGGTCTTTCCACACTGGGGTTCCACCTGGAAGGCCTCCCTTGCGGGACTCTGTTTCTAAAGAGATGCTCCCTCACAGATTCACATGGTCAAGAATGCTCTGTTTGGATCTGAAGGTTGGGGTTTTAAGGGTCAGCTGTGTCTGCCCCTACCCTTCTCCCCCATGTGGGAAACCTCTAGCAACCAGGCAGCGGCCGCCTTTGTGCCCTGGGACTGCTGTGGGGACCAGCAGTGACCCCCCCCTCTCCTGGGCTTCTGCTCCACCCCTCAGCCATTCAGGGGCTCCTCTATGAGGCCACCCTGCCCTTCCTCCCGGTTCCTCCCCCTACGTGGACAGGACAAGGTAGGAGCATCCAGATACAGAATCTGGGACGGGGAGGAAGGCTTGAGGTCCAAACCACTAGCTCCAACGTAGCTCTCCTGGGGTCTTGCATGTGAAGTCACTGGGGACTGATTCAGCCTGCTGGGTCTCTCAGGACCCGCATGGAAATGCAAAGTTGGTGCACTCGGGCCCCTGGCCCTAGCACCATTCAGCAGCAACTAGCTCCCCGCTCTGAGCAGAACAGATCCATTCCCCCCGAAGAAAAGGCAATGAGCTGACTGCTTTTATCAGCCCTGTGGTCACATCAAGACTGGGAAGTTAAGCAAGGGCTCTCCCTGTCTCATCAGAGAACTAAAATCTATCCGAGTTAGTGGCCAGAACAATCTCCCCTGAGTGGCATTTGTGGCCCAGTGTTGGATGGAATCTGATCATGAGAAGACAACCCGACTTCTGCAGACGTTTTAAGAGACAACTGGTCTATGATAAAATGTCAGCGCTAAGAAAGGGAAAAAGTGGGCGGCGTGGGGTGGGAAAGGGGTGAGGCTGGGGGAAAGGAGAGTGGAGCAGCAGGATAGCACAGCCCTCGGCTCACAAGTACGGCCTGAAGATGTTGTGGGGACAACAGGGAAATGTAGACACGGACTGTATGTTAGCTGACATTGCTGAATTTATGGTAAATTTGGGGAGATGAGAATGGGGTTGAGTTTTATAGCAGAACGTCATTTCTCAGGAGCTACATGCTGATGTGGTTAGAAGTATTCTGAGGACTGCAACTTATTTTCAAATATTTCAGAAAACTGTGCGTCTCAGTGTATGTGTGAATGTGTACACGTGTGTCTGTGTGGACTCGTGTGTGCATGTGTGTACAGAGAGAGCAAGTGTGAGTGCAGGACAGTGAAACCTGACAGAATGTTGACTGAGGCAAATCTAGGCTAAGGGTTGGTGGGTGACCACGAGTTATTCTTTCGCTTTCGTCGTTGGCAGTCTTTCCAAATTAAAAGTTGAGGAGAAAGGTCACCAAGAAGCACACGGTGTCTGCATTACTCAGCCTTACTTTGAGCCAGGGTCCTGTGTTCAAGTGCTGCAGTGGGTGATTACTAAACCGTGCTTTGTGGTGACGACAGGTGCCTTTCACAAAGCGTTGCGTAAGTGAGAAAGTGTGTGAATGCCTCCTTCCTTGGCTGCCTGCACCTGAGGGAGGCCCCCGCCGCTGCCACCATCCCTGTGCTCACTTTGACAATCAAACCCCGAAGGTCCGGCCACACCGTGTTGGGCGGATGATTGTCACCACAGACCACAGCACTCCTGCGCTCCTTGTCAAGGGTTTATTTCATCTGCTAACATTCATTCCTGACCTAGACAAAAACAATTAGATGATTATGACTTGCTTTTCCATCACCAACTTGTTTGTCTTGTATGAATAACCAAAAGATTTCTTCTCAACACTTTTTTTTTTTAATAAGAAGCTATAAATAAATAAAGCTTTAAACACTCCTGGGTTCAAGTTAAACACTTCCAGTTCCCAAAAATGTCACAGACTCATTGCTCGGACAGTTCTGCCATCCCTGGTTCCTCCTCTGGGAGGGGACGTTGCAGGGCTGTGTGGGGAGTGGGCTGTCTGCTCCCTGCGCGTTGCCTCTGTCCTCTGGGCCCTGGGTAGAGCCCCTGGGTGGGGCACCCCTTCTGTGGGGCCCCAGTGGGGGGCAGCGTTGGAGATGCTGCAGGCATGAGGAAACTTCACCTCCACGCAGGCGGCCTGAGCCGAAGTACTGGACTGGAGGCTCGAGGGGCCTAGGGGCACTGGCAGCTGGGGCTGTCTCTGGCACCTTGGCCTGGGTGCTGGCCCCAGATGGGACCACTTTCCAGATGCAGCAAAGAAACCAAGAAGAGACCCCTGTTTCCATTGAATTGGGACAACGGATCATAAGTTAAAACATTCCAATATGTACAAAACAGATCCTACACTCAAGCCTGCACACACAGGAAGCCCACCTCGAGGAGGGCCGGGTGCCCAGGGACTGGGGCAGAACAGGGCCGAGCTTTCCATGTATGCCCTGGAATTGACCACCTCCTGATGGAGGCCACAGCAAGCCCCCAGCACCTGACGTGCTTGTGCAGGATCCCAGAGTTCTCATGAACGCGTCCCACCTTCCTCCCTGGAGCATGCCCATCCCAAAGGATGAGTGTCAGAACAGATCCCCCATGCTGACCTTCACTACCCCTTGAAAGAACCACTAAATCACCTGGATGCTCGCCTGCTCAGCATGACGTACCCACTCTGTGGGGTAGTCCTGGGACGGGCTGGCATGGTGCCCATCCCAGGCTGCTGACCACTGCCCTTGGACTACAAGATGAAGTGGTCGGTGTAGGAAGCAGGAGGTATGGGCACCATCCCTATGCCAGGCAGGCAAAGACTAAAGGCTGCGTCTTCCTGGGTGGCCACCTCATTTGCCAGCACATTAGCATTTCGGGTGCTGTGGAAGCTTCCTTGCTTCCACGCCTCTGTGGTGGGCAGCTGTGATGGCTGAAGAGAACCTGGGGCAGGGAGGAGGCCCTGGTAGAATCTGCCCATGAGGCTGCTGCCCTCCAGCAGGCCAGCTCTGGCCCTCACTGCCCTTGCGCCTGCAGGCACGTGTGGGTCCTCTCCTGGAGAGACAGGGCACTCATCCACCTCGGGTGTGGGACTCACACTCTGCTCCCAGAGCCCAGGTCTTGGGCCTCATGTGGGGAGAGCACCCCCAGAGGAGACAGTGGCCTGGCCTCCTGGAGCACAAGAGGGGTAGGGCAGGGGGGACGTTTCTACAACGGATATGGAACATGGCTTCTCCAATCTGCAGGGCTGCCAGGACCAGGGCCTGACCAGCTCACGGGCAGGGGGTGGGCAAAGGGAAATACAGGGAGGGCCGGGGGTGGGAAGGGCCGTGTATGTGGGTGCTAGGGAGCCACCGAGAGCATTTCTTCCAACTCTAGTTGAGAATCTGAGAGTCTGAGCCCCTTCTCCTGGCCATACAGAACCACCATGGCCCCAAGATATGGTTCATGGGCAGCATGCAGTCTGCCGTGCTCTAGCCAATGGAGGCTTGATTGTACTTTTGCACATGGGGTTGTGGGAACAGTGGGGTATGAGCCCTGAATAAATGTCCAAGCGATGAGCCCGGGGCCAGGGACAGTCTACCAAATCTCAGAGGGTCCGAAAGGTAAATGGGGCAGGGGAAACTCTCCTCCTGTCTAGCTGGTCTGGCTAGGTGGTCACCCCCAAAGGCCAGTTGGGGGGAGGCTTGGACACAGGTGGCAGCATCCTTGGACACAGCCTTCCCACTCCTGGGATGCACTCTGCTCACAGAATGGGGGGTAGTGCATGTGGGCCCATCTCCCTGCAGCCCTCCTCAGCCTGAGGACTAAGGGAAATGGTGGGGAGGGGCCCCAGACGGTGTGCTTTGATCTCCTGACCCAAGCATGAAGCCAGACTGTGCATTTTGACCTTGGGCCAGAGAGAGAGTGGGCTTCCCAGGGAAATGACTAGAGTCTTCTCGGCTTCAGGCAAGGTGGGCCCTCACCATTGAAGATGGGTGAGCTAGGAGCTCCATTCCTGAGGACACCTCAAGGGGCTGCCTGTGTGCCCAGGGAAGGGGTTCACTCAGGCCCAGGGCCACCGGGGCCACCAGAGGCCAAGGGACTGCCCGGGTGGCCTGAGCCTGGGAAGGTGCCTGGAGCTGGTGTCAGGCCGCTGCTGGCCTGTGGTGGTGAGAGAGCAAGCAGGGGTGCACAGTGGGTGTAGGACGCACTCCTGGCGGGGCGAGTCTCATCTCCACTCTCTTTTTCTTGTCTTCAGACCCCCGGCCGCTGGGAGTGAGCTGAGGCCAGGAAAACAGGGACGCCGCCTGCCCCTGGTCCCTGCCTGGGGCGTCCCCTAAGCATATTCTCCTCCGGCCTGGGGGGAGTCGCACTGGTTGATTCCTCACAGCCCTGGTCTGGGAGGGATCCGTGAGAACCAGCCCCGCCGGGCGCCGGGCGCCATGTCCCACTCCCTCAGCCTTGTTCAGCACGCATCTACCTTCTGGAGAGCGCATCTGGGACCCTCTTCCCGCCAGAGTCCTAGGGTGGGGTGGTCTGTCTGTCTCATTTCACCTCCCCTCTCCCGCCCCCCGCCCCCAAGGGACCACCCCCCCACGGCCGGCCACCACTACCACTTCTCAATGATGTGGCTCATGTAGTCCTCTGTGGGCACTCGGCCCGGCTCCTCGGCATCCTCCCGCGGCAGCGCCTCCTTGGCCCGGTGCAGCAGTCGCTCCTCCCGGCTCTTGAGGCGCTGCTCCCTGCGCTCCAGCTGCCGCTTGTACTGGTAGCGCTGCTGGAAGAGGTCCTTGGCGTAGTCGTAGAGCTGCATGTCCAGGTCGTTGAGCTCCTCAATGCGCCGGATGGTGTCCTCGTCCACCTCCACGCCGCCCGCCCGCGTGCTGTTGTACTGCATGAAGGGCCGGATGAACTTGAGGTTGAACGTCCGCTCGAACAGGTACTGCGTCTTGCGCTGGAACTCCGTCAGGCCGAAGAAGGCCATGCCCCGTAGGTTCTTCTTGGCGCTCTCCAGCAGCAGCTGGGCCCGCTTGCCCTCGGGGATGAAGGACAGGTTGTAGCAGCCCACCAGGCTCAGGTCGGCCAGCATGCGCACCTGGCGGTTGTTGGCCAGGTTGTAGGGGCAGTCCATGAACTCCTGCAGTGTGCAGCCCGACCAGTCTGTGCCCTCATAGCAGGGTGGCAGCTCCTCGGGCGTGGGCGTGCGCCCATCACACATGTGCAGCGATGTCTTCCACGTGGCCCCCCGCTGCACGTGCCGCCACTCGCTCAGGTAGCGGGACACGGGGTCTCGCAGCAGGGTGATGTAGTAGAACTTCCTGTAATGAGACGGGGACAGGGGGTAAGGTAAGGGCACAAATCTGACTGCTTTGGGTGTATCCTGGGGGGGCCAACCATTATGTCCTCCAAACAGCCACTTCCGAGTGAGAAACCCAGGATCGGAGAGGTGACCTAACCTGCAAAGGGTACACAGTCACCCTCGTGTCTGTCAGCCATGACCATCATGGTGTCGTCCCATAGCGCCTGGCCTCAGTGCCTCCTGAACCCTGGGCCCAGGGTCTTCTCCTGAGCCCCAAGGCCGCCCTCCTGTCTGCTCACTCCTCAGGAGGGACAACCTGTCTTTGCGCTGCGGTGGGGCGGAGTAGGGGGCCCCAGAGCCGATGCCACCTGGAACCAGTGGTTTAAAGAGCTGCTCAGTGGTTGGCTAAGTGCTGTTCAAGGGGCCACTCGGCAGAAGTCACTCACAGTCCCAGGCTGCACGTGCAGGCCTGGTCAGGGCCTCCAGCAGGCTCACTCCACCCCCTATCCAGTGGGGCAGGGGCGCCAGTAGACCACCCAACCCAGGATCCCCGGGTGACCCACCATTTATCATCTTGTGCCCCAGGAACCGCTTCCACGCCAGGAAGTCCGGCATCCCTCCAGATGCCACCTCCCCACGTTGTATGCAAGGGGCATCCACACCATGGGAGAAATGACTCCCTGTATGACAGGCATGTCCCTGCCCAGCAGGATGACTGGCCTGATGGCACCGGGACACAGCGGGCAGTGGGGCAGCTGCCAGATGTTCCTGTGACAGGCCTGGAGTGGATGGGTCAACTCCAGACAGGTTATTCCTGGAAGCCTCTCCTCCAGGGCTGGGAGAACTGGCTGCCTGTGCCTGGTGGAAGGAGTCCCAGGCCAAGGAGCGCCACTCTTGGGGCGGGGAAGCTTCCGGAAGGAACTGCCCCATTCCGCCCCAGACAGCGGCGTGAGAGCGCATCCACACTACCCCTCCTCACTGAAGCCCAACAAGAGCACCCAATAATTTCCCCACCCTCACGCTGCCCCCCTGCGACAGCTGCAGGGGCACAAAGCACCTCGAGGGGCCTGCTGGCAGTGTGCTGATCTGACTGCACAACTCCCAGGGGACCCTGGGGGGGGGGGCATGGCAACTGGCAAAAGCAAAGGTGGTGGGGTACAACTGCAGGTCAGCCCAGGCTGAGAGGGAGCATCTAGAAAACCACAGGGGGGCAGTTCTGAAACACCTTCATTAGGGGCCTTGGGATCCCCCAAGCAGAGCCAAGGGTAGCCAGCCAAAGGCTCCGGGGTGGGGTGGGGCAGCAGGGGGAAAGACTGGTCCTTCTATGCAGACTGCTGAGGAGACAGGGCAGCAGTTGGCCACCTGACATTCCCTGTGGCTCCCACTGGCTGGTACTGGGCCACCCCAGGGACAAGGCAGACAGTGGAGAGCACCTGGGCAGTGGGGGTCAGGGGCCTCTTCCTCAGCAGAGAGTGGAGGGCAGGACGGCAGGCATCCTGACCGCCAACTCCTCCCTGAGGCCTGGGGTCTGCTCTGTGATCTCCGCCTTGGGCCCTCGTTCGCGCTGGAAGCGCCCTCCCCACGTACCGGGCCCCAGCCTCGGCACTGACCGCTTGCTTCAGGTGCTCCAGCTCCTGCAGTGTGGGGAGCCCTGCACCCCACATCTGACCCCAGCTCCTGTGGGACACACTTTGGAGGCTCTTGCTGCCCTTGGCAGATGCACAAAGGACCACCTGCATCCTCCTAGGCCCTCTGTGACCAGTGGACCTCCTTTTGACCCTCTCCCTGGCTCCTGGGGAGAAACCCCAGGGCCTTGGAACAAGCTGTGTTCTCTTCCCTCTCTCTCTCATCGGCTGACTCCGGCTCATCCTTCAGACCTCAGGCGGTGCCACCTCCGCGGGCCTCTGTCCCAGCGGTAACTTCACACTGACCTCTCAGCTCACTTGACCAGAGCCTTCCTCTGGGGAGGGAGTGGGCAGGAAGGAAGCTGGCTCCTGTGTGTGTGCTCAGAAGGGCCAACATGACTCCCCAGGGTCGAGACTGAGATGATCAGAGGATGCAAGACAGAAGGCGCCTCAGGGAGGTCACCTCACACAGCACCTCAGCCCCCAGTGGAAGACACCAAGCCTGAGAGGTTAAGCCGCTGCCTGGAGGTCCCCAGCGGCTTTAGCACTGGGGTGGGGTGGGTGGCCTCTCCTCTGCAGACCCTGGTTCGGTGAGAAAGCCCCTAAATGTAGCCAGGACAAGAAAGGTCAGTTCATTTTAAGGGTCAACTTTCTAGGAATGAAGTAGAAGACATTTATAAATCCTGACCATGTCAAGTGCTTCTGAAGAGTCCAAGACAGACACACAGGGATGCACCCAGAAACACACCTATGAACAAACACAGCCCCACGTGCAGGTGTCTGCTGCCTGCCCTGCCGGGTCCTGCATGTGCCCTTAGGCCCTAAGGGCAGGCTGAGGGTTATGGGGACTTCCTCCACTCCTGGAGGCCTGGGGGGCCCTGATCACTCACATGGAAATGGGCCAGCCTGGTAGTTCCTCCTGAACACAGAAAAGCAGAGTTTGATGTCAGGTGTCAACTGATAGAGAGGCTTGTCTACTTGGTGCCAGCCAAGGCCAGCTGGAGTTCAACATGGCCCCAAGGTGACCTCTGAGGGCAAGAACACACCGTGCACACAGACCATGGGCACCCCTCCCAGTGTGTGCCCCCACGGTCTTCAGGCTGAAGTCCTGTGTCCCACGACAGGGGCAGGCCTGGCGGAGCCTCAGCTGCTTCTACAGCCTCACGGGTCCCTGTGATGGGAACAGGGTCATCAGCCCTCCCACCGCTGGTGCCTCCAGGTCCTGGGGAGACCAGGTGTGGCTGTCCCCGAAGCCCTTGGCTGTGAGTCTCTCCTGTTGCACTGATGTTGGCCATCGAGGTAATGGTTACCCAGTGACCTACAGCTACCATCTGGACAGCCAGGACTGGTGGGAGTCCTGTCCACAGAGGCAGGCCCACCTGCTTTTCAAGTCCCTCTGCTCCTAGCCCACGAGGATGTGTGACTCGCCCAGGGTCACACAGCAAGTCAAGAGGCAGGACGAGTTCAGGCTGCTTCCTCGAAGCCGTGGTGTGAGCTGCCCTTGTGCCTGGTTAGATAGCTGGGCTATCAGGGTGTTTGAGGGCTTAAGGCCCCATGGGTGGGGTCACTGAGGGGTCTCCAAGGGTACAGTAGGTGCCTGGTGTATCTGGCAGGTTCCAGAAGATGTGGATGAGTCTTCTGGTCCTTGGAGCTTCCTGTTTGTGGTCTCTGGTGAAGCCTGAGAAGCTGACTCCCCCTGAGCCTCTGGGGCTCACGTTGACCCCATATCACCCTGTGCACCATGTGCATGTTAAGCGGAGTGCCTTCTCTCCTCACTGCATCCCTGGATGCTGGCCCAGTTGGGATGGATGCTATGGTGACTGGGAAGGGCATCAGGATGGATATGTGGCACCTTCTCTGTGCAGGACATTGCCATGCCCTGGGGAATGTGCCCCACCATTCTGTCCCCCCCACAGACATGGCCTATGGTGGAGAAAAAGGGCTCAGGCAGACTCTGGAACCTGCTCAAGGGGTCAGCAGCCCCAGGCCACTCCCCAGCTCTCGTCTGGACAATGCGGGAGCCCCTGCAGATACACACACCCATAGTCTGTCGGCCTCCTCAGGAACTCATGAACCTGACGCCCACCTCCACCTGTCCACCCCGGTCCTCACTCACTGCTGCCATGACACAGCAGGCACCTCTGGCTACAGGCCTGTACCCATGCCGTCCTCTGCCCAGGTGCCCTGCTCCTGTCTCCCTCACTCTGCCCTCCCTGCCCGTTATACACGCCACTAGACACAATGGCTGTTTATGTTCTGTTTATTGTCTGATGAAAGAGGGAATGGGGGCCCTGTCCAGAAATGAACAGAGGGCAGAGTGTGGTGTGGGGCAGAAGAACCCCCCCAGATGACCGACCACACACCACATCAGGCAGCTTTCTGCCCAAGATGTGACCTGATGTACATTCTATGAAGGTGCCAAGGGGCTCATGACTCAGGGATATGAAGAACTGGGCAGGGGCCAAACAACAGTCTGCACCCTCACTGTTGTCCCCAGCACCTGCCCTCCCGTGCCCAGAGAGCTGCCACCAGGCTAATCTAGACCCTGCCCCAGGGCACAGTTCTTCCTGCACTGACATCTGGGGTCCCCCTAAAACAGGGGGCTTTCTGCCTATCACTCTCCAGCAGGATCTGTCCATTCAGGTGGTCCCAGTGCCAACCGACAAGGTTTCCAGAAAGAGGGGAGTGAGGAGGCAGAGGGGAGGAGTTGAAGAAATAATGAGAATTGGAGTATATAATTCATTTAGCCTGAAATGGCTCCCCAAGTGCCTAGCAAGTGAATGTGGGGACCAGACCCAGGATTAAAGAGATGACCCATGCAGCACCTGGACAGAAAAACAGATTACATAAAGAGGACTGGTTGTCATAAAGGGACCCACTTTCTCTGTAGCAATACCGTATGCTACAAATCAATGAAGCAATGGCTTCAAAATGCTGAGGGAAAATGACCAGTGACATGTCAGACCCCACCCAGCCATCAAGCAAATGTGAGGGGAGACTGGAGACATTTCAGACATGCAAAAACTCAGGACATTTATTTTCCATAAATTTTGTTTTAGAAAGATATTGGACTAGGTATCTTATTTAGTAAACAATAACAACAAAAAATTTTGCATGGGAGACAGGAACTCCAACCCAGGAGAGAGATCGAGGGTGTCAACTGTGCATCCCACTGGGCCTCCCAGGAGCAGAGGGGCAGGGGTTCCAGGAAAAAAGGGGCATGGACAGATTACCTGCTGCATCAGAACATTCGTGGAAAAAAATTCACATGGAAAAAACTACATTTATGAAGATAAAAAACAAAGCAAGTAAAAAAAAATAGGGCTATCATTAATTCCAGGAAAAAACAAGAATATAAAAAAAGAACATAAAGCATTCTATTAGGCAAAGGAAG